CATTCTTCCAATCACTGTAGGTACCATCATGGAGAAGATTCTCTCCAACGAAGTTTAATCCAGGGTGATTAGCAGAAGTGAGAAAATAGAGTGATGATACGTCGATGGTCTTGCATGTGGGTGGTGGTAGTGTCTATCGATCGCCAACAACCATCATTTAAACAAAGCTAGGTTTGAGTTTCCAGTCTTTCTCTGATATGATAATAATTTTAGAGAAGTAAACATATTTTCTTATTATTGATAAATTGATTTACATATGAGTATATATAACTAGAACAGAAAACAGAAATCCTAGAGTACCTAAAATATTTAAAAAAGATAAATACAAAAAATAAAGATAAATAAAAGATAGATAAAGATAATAACGATCCTTAATCTTAATAGATCTCGTTTTGATTGAAAAATTTTCATCCAAAAAGAGTTCTTAGACATTTGGAAATCTCTAACTTTCCAAAATATCTTGAACCATACATGTGTATACGTATATGTGTTTTAACAGGGAATATAGTTGTAATCTTATGGAAATTCTTAGAAATTAATTATAAAAAGTTGCCAAGGATCTAAAATTGTTGCAATGTTTTTGTAGTTTTAATATATGATAAAACAGTAATATATTTCTATACTAGTTGTGAGACTCATGTATTATATTAGTTAATTTAAAAAAAAAAACAAAATTAAATATAAATGTCAAAATATTTGAGAACTTTGAATTTATAAGAAAATAAGAAAAATAATTAATTATTGTAATAGAAATGTTTTTTATCTTTTAAATTTAAACATAAATTAAAATAAAGAAAAGAAATTAATGAGCTTTAGTTTTGGGAATTTTGAGATTAAAAGGTAAGTTTATTAATCAAATTAATATCCATTTATTACTCTAATTATTATATTAAAATATTGTGTGAAATTTAATAAAATACAAAACTCATAAAATTATATATGAAAAAAATTTAATTTAAAATAACCACAAAATAACATTTGACAAATTGAATAAGAGTGTCACAGGTGACAAAAAAAACATTTACTTATTAGAGATGATTGTTTATTAGATAACAAAGGATTTAGCAAACGCAAAAGTTGTGTTAAAAGAATGTGTTAAAAATTATAATTGAGAAATTAAATATCTCCCTATCTTTTGTTCTTACCAATTATTGTATTCAATTAAATGATGACATATGTCATATTATTATACTAAAATATCATTAAATTTCATTAAATTAGCTATAATAAAATATACAGATAACCTTTTATCGTTGCCAAAAATTTAGTTCCAGCTAGAAACAAATTTTAAAGAGAAAATATTGCTCTAAGAGGCCACACTATTCCTTATAAATCAACCACATTGTAAATAATTTATCGTTATTGAATTAAAATATTTTCTATAAATATGTCGTGGATGCTAAAATCATTACCAATGACAGATTTTTCTACAAATATATATTACATCGTTTTTTTAGAATTAAATATCAATCACATGAATATTATATGGCTACCATAACTAAACACATCTACCTAATCAAAAATCAACATATGTACGTCATTTGTCTGTTATGATTTTTATTTTAGCTTTTTAGAAAGGCGATATTTGTTTTTTAGTTTTTAACAGTACAAGGCTCTCCCACCAATTTGCTACCATGTATCCTCTATCTTCACCGTCACCGCCATAACTATCAATTCGACGGAGATGATCGTCTCCAAATTAAGACATTAAAAGAAGCGACACTAAATTAACGAAGTTTACTTGTGTCATAAAATTAATAATATGGCTCTAGAACATTTGTATTATGGTGAAATCTTGATCATGAATGATTATGTAATGGCATTAAAGAAAATGATCAGTCCTTTTGGATATCTACGGACTAATGGACTATATCAATATAAGGATGAAATATTGTTTGGAAGAGGAATACACTTGTTTATTATTATTATTATTATTATTATTATTATTATTATGTTTAATCGAGTCGAGCTGCTGGAAGCTCGACAGTATTGAGTATGTCAACAGCTGGAGCTGGAGCTTGGAAATGTAGGCTCGAGTTCAAGTTAAGTTTTGAGCTTGGCACAACTTGGCTCATTACAAAGCTTATAAATAATCCAAATTGGAAACAATTTATCGTTATTGAATCAAAACATTTTCTACAAATGAATGAAATGATGAAGGAAAGTCATTTAACGAATGACGATTTTTCGACAAAAAATTATTACATTGTATAACTATAATCCAATATCAACCACTTGAATATGATACGAATAATATAACAAAACGAAGCACATCTACTTAATCAAAGAATCATATTTGCATCACTGCATGTCGTATGTTTTAGAAATATTTCTTCATTCTTTTGTATTTTTTAGAACTGCTTCTGAGAAATTTATTTTTTAGTTTTCTACAACCATCCACCAACTTCTTCGACAATTTTTCACACTCGAGACCTCGATGTTCATCATAACTTGCATCGGAATGATCATCTCCGTAGACATGATTCCAACCAGAGGTTTTTAAAAAACGTGGTGTACAGCTGGACATGAATGGAGATCAATGGCACTTCTCCGCCTTGTTGCTCCTCGCTATGAGTTGGAACTGAAGAATTTTTTTTATTTTCCCATTGTTTGCCTCTGTTAATATATATTCATGGAGAATGGAGACCAGAAACCCTCCATGTAGGACTGACGACTTTTCAGTCACATACTTCCTAGCTACAAGGAAAATTATTGGTGCTTTCCTCACGAATAAATAAAAATCATTTAAAACATTGGTTGACTTATTATCTAAATCAAGGTTCTAGAGATCGGACTAAAGTGTGATTATTTTCTACAACTATGAACTGTATTATTTTGTATTATAGTAGTAGGTTATATTAATTATAAATTAATAATATAATATATCGATGAATAATAAAGATTCGAACATAAACTTCTTCTCAAATCTTATAGGTTCACCGTTTTTTGACATTAAAGAATACATACACATAACAAAACAAAATGTAATAACCATGATAAAAATAACTAAATAAAAATGGAAATATTTTCTTATTTGAGTTCCATGCCTAAACAAATGTACAAACACGGAAATGTGAAAATTAACGGTTGCATTCAGGAGAGATGTTGGTGTCAATTTGTATTCTGGATTTACTAAGAGCGTTTTCAGTAAAATTAGCTGGTAGCGGATAGCTTGTAGCGGGTGGCGGGTAGTTTGTAGTTTGTAGCGTTTTGTTAAACGCTACATGAAATAGCATTTGGATTTGAAGCGTTTTGTTTAAACTAAACGCTAGAAGGTTATAGTGCCAAACAAGACTTTTTGTTTAAAGCGGAGCGATTTGTCAGACGTTAGAAGTTAGAAGCTCTCAAAAGCTTCCAAAAGCTCCGTTCCGAACACGTCCTAAGTGGATGTGGAAGCATGGATGTATTATGTGTTCTGGGTATCTTAATTTAATTCCACATTAAAGACCAATCAAAAGCCTTTTGGAATAGGAGGATTACTAGAGGAATTTGGAAGTGCGTTTGACCTAGTTTGACCAGTTTACCGACAAATTTCGGATGGACACCATTCCTGAGGGAATTTGGAAGTGCGTTTGACTGCCATTCTCATGGATGTTCCATCGCTAATTTGTTCTGTCAATAATTGTATCACCAACATTTTTGGGCTGATTCTTAACATTTTTGGGCTGATTCATTCACTTTGTAAGTTTGAAAATATCATGCAAGATAGTTAAATCCATGTGTTACAAGTGATAGTCATAAAACATGAACAAATGGCAAATTTGAAGATTTTATCGTTTTTTTTTTTCTTTTAGAAAGGGAACTTCCCTAATGAAGGTTTCCACGTAAACTTTTGCGCACCGATTAAGCCCATGCAAACATAAAAGATTGATTCACTGTAAGTGAATCTTCATGGCCACAGGGGCTGAGTAGCATCAGCATTTGAATATGAATCAATAGGTTATACACCGTATCTTTCACAAGTCATACCAAATCACCACAATCCAGGTGGTTAAGTTTTTATATTTCTTATTGACACTTTAAATAGAATCTTGAGGAATTTACTTTATAAGTTTTACATTAAAATATTTTAAAAAACGTTCGAATTAGTAAGATTATATAGTTTTGTTAAGAAATTAATTATTTATCAACATCATTTTTAGATAGGAGTTAATTTTAAAATATGTCATGTGTTATTATTGTGACTATACATAATTAACCGTATGAGTAAACAAATTAGGAGTTTATTAAAATAAAATTTTGAATCAGGGCTAGTACACAGGAGACGGAATACATGTTTACATCAATGATATCATATTCGGAAGACCCATTTTCTTTTGATCAAGTCCAACTATTTTTAAACTTGTAGTATTAATTGGTCTTTTGGTATACTTCCAACTATTTTTAAAATTGTAGTATTAATTGGTCTTTTGGTATACTTTCATGGTAAAATTAGTCTCCATCGTTAACATCCATCAAATTGATTTTGTTAAGCTCGCTATGTGCCACTCACGTAAAGATATTTATGTCTAGGGGCAATTTCGCAATTTACTCTAATAAATTTAGGATTATTAACATAGATGCACAATAATATTTTTCATTTGGTTTTAAAATGTCTTTCAACTCATTTTCGTATATGTGATCCCACTAAAGTAACAAATTATTTGTCATTTATACCATGAGAGCCGGTCACCCGGTAATTAAATGTGATGTGGCCTTTAGACTTTCGATTTCTTCAATTAAATGATATCTCATCAATGACACGTCAACTTTTCCTTCGTATAATTGTTCAAAAAATAGATTTACTCCAGTTGTTTATCAAAGTCGTGTTGAAGTGTTCAAGATTCTAGGGCTTTTCTCTCACAGTTCAGTAAGTTTTCTCTCATCTAGGGTTTTTTTGTAGTTAAAATTCATGGCGAACCGGGACCTTATTTTCTTCAAAGTGCATTTGCACTATAACAATGTTTTTACAAGGCACCCACATAGATATATTGGAGGTGATACGTTCATGTTTACTGATCATGATTTCTCTAGAATGGATTTATATGGGTGTTGTGAATTTCTTGAAAGGTTTATTGGAGAACCTTTTGACAAACTTTTTTTACTTAGCACATGATCAAACTATAGCAAATGGTCTTACAGTAATTGCCAATGAAATGGATTATCAAGTGTTTATCGATGTTGCTTATCAAGCACCTAAAAGGCCAATAGACCTATATTTAGATCATATTGGAAAACGATTTGAGGATTGGTTCGTTGAAGAAAGTGATGAAAATGGTTCAGTCATCCAGGGGGATGACAAAGAACCTTCACAAGGAATCCCCGATCCTGAACCAACCTATATGTTTGGTGGTTGTTTGGAAGATGAAATCACTGGGGAATACTATACCCCTCTAAACAACACCAAGGACGATGAGTTTCTTAACAAGTTATGCCCAGAAGGTGGAGAAGAGAAAAAGGTTGAAGAAATAGACAATAGTGAGGAATTGGAAAATGATGTACTTGAGGAATATCCTATCTTTAATCTCAGGTATACTGGAAGAAGCAAGTACCAATTTTAGGCACGAGATTTGAGAATCCAAAACAGCTTAAGAGCATCGTATGTAATTCTGTTGTTAAGAATGGCTATCAATTATGGTTCGAAAAGAATGACAGTAAGAGGCTTCTAGTATTGTGTTGTGAAGGTGCTTGTACTTTCAAGCTATGGGCATGTTGGATAAGTACATAACACAGTGTTCAAATCAAATTTTTAAAAAGTGAGCATGAATGTGCTAGGAACTACAAATTGGGTTCAAATATAAATTGTCAATGGATTGGTAGCCACTACACCAAGGAGATTTTGCATAGACAGAAACTGACAATTAGGCAACTAAGATTGGAGGTCATTAGGAAATTTGGTATTGATGTTAGTATTAGCCAATGCACAATGGCCAAACAGTAGGTTATTAATATTATGGAAGGTACCCTTATAGAGCATTATGCTAAGCTCCGGTCTTATGGAGAGGAAATTAGAAGATCCAATCCTAGTTCAACAGTCAGCATGGACGTACTTATAATGCAAGATGGAACTAATCACTTTAGTAAGTATTGTGTTTGTTTTGATGGTGTAAAGAAGGGGTGGTTATAAGGGTGTAGGAATGTGATAGGAATTGATGGTTGCTTCTTAAAAGGGTATGTTGCTGGTGAGTTGCTTTATGTTGTGGGGAGAGATGATAGGGACCAAATATGCCCAATTGATTGGTTAGTGGTATGTTTTGAAAACTAGGAAAACTAGAAATGGTTTCTATCATTGTTAAGTGATGATCTCAATCTTGGTATGGGACAAGGTTTAACTTTTATTTCAGACCAGCACAAGGTAAGCAAAACATTTTATTATTTCTCACTCACAAAGTATATTACCTAATTTATTTCTAACTACTTGTATGTTTGTATAGGTTCTTCTGGAAGCTATCATGGAAATTGTTACCACAAGGTGAGCATAGGCAATATACAAGGCACATTTTGGCCAACTTCAGTAAAAAGTTTCCAGGGGCACAGTTTGTTAATTTATTTTGGTCTGGATGTAATGCAAAAATAGAACAATCTTCAATGAAATAATGAAGGATGTGAAAATTTCAAGTTGGTAGAACCCTAAAACATGGCCAAGAGCTTACTATCAAGTTGGTAGATGCTGTTCTAGTGTGGAGAATAGAGGATGTGAAAATTTCAATGCAGTCATAGTTGAAGCCAGGAAGAAACCTATCATCACAATGCTTGAAGAATTGAGAATGTATATGATGAACAAGTTGTACACATCAAAGCATAATGGATGGTTAAGTGATGTTTCATCTGAAATAAGGCTGAGGTTAAATGAGTTAAAGGTTAATCGAAGGTTTTGGGAGGCATTGCCATGTGGACTCAACCAGTTTGAGAATAGGTCAGGAAGTGTGTAACATCCCAATTTTCAAGGCCAAAAATTTCATTTTAGATATGTTACTTATAAAACAATTTACTGAAAAACATCATCGATATCATATCGACCGAAGATCTCATAAGTCAAATGAATTAAAACATGTCGTGGAATAATAATAACATCATAGTACAATCCCAAGAGTATCATAGTGTGAAAATCATGTGTGTGTGATGTGCGGCTACTACACCGACTCCTTCCCCTTCGCTGAAAAGGTACCTGAAACAAAACTGAAAACTCTAAGCACGAAGCTTAGTGAGTTCCCCCACCATACCACATACAACATAACATACATACTGCCGAACAATTTTGGGGTGGCCGACCTACCCTGTCCGGCCATTCTGGGGCGCCGACCTACCCTGTCTGGAAATTCTAGGTTGCCGACCTACCCTGTCTGGCAATTTTGGGGTGCCAACCTACCCTCCGATTTATCCCAACCAGCTACAGGGACCATTTCACCCCCTACTACTACCACATAATAATATAGCATAGACATACTGTCAGACATATCTGGGTGCCCGACCTACCATGTGGTCCTTATGACCGTAACTCAGGGACTATTCCCCTACTGCCTACTATCACATAACTGATGGATTTTAGCCATAAGAACATCCTATGTGCTCATGCAAACCCTAATGCTTGGATCTAGGTTTCTCTATTGTACATGCAATGTATCCAAGACTTACAATCTTAGATCTAACATATTATAAAATGAATTAGGGTTTATAGAATTACCTTTGATTATTATGTAGCAATAACAATCTCAAATCCTCCTTGTAATGACTTTAGAAAGCTTAGAGTCACAAGTGTCACTCCTCTAATGGCTTACAAACACCAAGAGCAAGAGGATGAAGAATAAGGAGAAGGGAGGCTGCCCAAAATCGTCCAAAACCCTAGAGGAACTCATAGCCACGTTTTTGGGGCTTAAGGGTACTATATATACATGTAGGCTATTAGGGTTTTAAACTAGGAAACCCTAATCTAACTGCTTAAGCCCTAAGCAGCCCATGGATTCCTTTGGAATATCCATTGGACGATTTCTAATGGGCTTCCCCATAGAATTCGTCCAACTTATATCTTATTAAGTAATCCATAGCCCAAATGCAATTATCTTGTAATTACAGTTCCAGTCCCTTAAGTTTAGTTAATCTCTTTTAGCCACAAAATTAATTATCAATTAATTCTTGACTAATATTAATTAAACAATATGATTTCTCCTTTAATATATTATTCTCATAACATATTAATAAATCATAATAAATCCTCTCTCTCCATAATTCATCCTATCAAGTTGCTTTGGTGAAGGCAACCCAAAAGGACCATGCACCATCGGGTCAAGTACATACCAAAATAGTTATGCACGTAGACACTAATCCAACAATCTCCCACTTGCATAAGTCTAATAACTATTCTGCGTATGACTTCAGATCCTGATTGCAATCGTAGCTTTCAAAAGCCGCTGTCAACTCTGATCTTATCAGATACGCGTGTCCTTTAGATAAGGGATCATATATTCCTCCATTCTAGATATCGTATAGATATCAGACATGAATTCTAATCATTCTCTCTATACTATTTCCTGACTTCCGATTTATGACGACTGACAACAAACTACAATTGATCACATCAAATTAGTCCCGACTTGGCCAAGCGCTTAGATGTCATCACTAAATCATCGAGGGGCCCAAATATATCGCTTTTATCCTACCTTGGATAAAAGGAACGGATAAACTTTGACTCAATGCTCACTTGCACTCACTTACCGAATCACACACAACAATATGTTTTATAACACCAAGTTACTGGTGCGTTTACATATTATCAATGTGTAACCGACTCGCAAGATATAACTCACACATCTCTGTTTCAAGAATATAAGATATTATCGTCTCACCAATCACTCGTGATAAAATCCATGAAGTGATCTAAGTGAGCGTGGGTTTAATCCAATGCTCAAATCATATTCATAAGCACTCATGAACGTTGCAACAAACATTTGCTTATGTCTAATACACTTTAAACAATCCACACACCAATTCACGACAGTCTTCATTCATACCTACTTCCAACATATGAATGACTGTGGTCCGTTCGAATAATTCGATTATTCTGAAATAATTAATTATTCAGGAAGTCAAAACATGCAAAGTGAAACACAAGAATAATACTAATCCTATATGGTCCCAAACCCTTGAGTATAAATAAAACACCTTTTATTTATCACCATATCGATTACTCATTATTTGTTGTTTCAGGTAATCAACTTCATACTTGAATTTTTACTACACTTGTCCCATGCTCTCAGCATGCACACAAAATTTACCTATGGTCCTTACTTGGTGAAATAGATCAAATGAACACATTTCCAATAATACTCATTTCACAACTCCTAATCCTTATCATAAGTATAAGAATATCAAATTTTTGTTACTTATGCTAGATTCTAACATTTTATGCAATGATTCTTTCGTAAAGTCATAGCTCAAAATCATCAAGATTTGGCAAATCTCTATCTGAAACAATTCTATAGATATCATGTCTCTCACTCAAAGTACATTCCTTTGAACATCCTTCTAGCATAAAAGTTTCTAATCTAGACATAGATTCTCAATATCCAACTCCCAATATGGAAACATTTCCATATTTGCCATATGACAACTCATTCTTAATAGAATCTTATCTATTCATAATAATGTCGATATGTTTCATCCAATACCATACTTCTAACTACTCATAAGCGACAAATCCTTAGCGAGATTTGGATCGTCCTTTGATAGTTGTTTAATTATTATAGGGTTTCAAAGCACTCTATGGATGATGGCAATGGGCCCCTTTGATGAAGTGTGGGTTAAAAGTCCAAGACTTGTATTTTCCCTATAAATGGTCATGTATTATTCATTATTAGGGTTATGAGTGAGGCAAAATGTAGCCACCATGCAAGGTTTCTTATGTAGTGTTAGATTCTTTAGTCTATGCTGAAAGTGTAATTTATTCCACATGTTTTGAATAGATCGAGTGATCATTCGACATATCTTCTTTATTTGTGTTTGTTCTTATTTTCCGCATCTTGTTCATCAAATCACAATTAGGCTTTTAATCCCAACAAGCGGTATCATAGCGGGTTTTTGAAAATCTATTGATTTTTGAAGTAGCGGTTCTTGATTTGATGATTTTCTACACAAGTTTATTGAAGATTTTGGTGTTCGGGTGGTTTGGAAACAAGTTTTTTTGATCTACTATTCATAGAGAATTATGTATGCAGTTATTGTTCATCTCCTATTCATCAGGGTAATTTTCATTTAATCCAATCTGTTTCATGCTCGTATTTTTGATCTGATCTTGATCAATTGTTTTGTCTAAAATAAATTGGTTGCTTCGTGGATTAATTTCTTTTGTTTTGGCCCAATTATTCCGCCACTGTTCATGGTTCATATGTCTATTGTCGATCCAGGTTTTCTTTGTCCTTAATATTATACTCGAGTTCCTGTGTGCGTCATCTGCTTTATGTATCGATTACTATTACTCATTTCATCCACTTATTTGTTCTCTCAAGGTCAATCAAGGTTCATAATCGCTACCTATATCATTATCGACTAAAGGATATTGATTTGTCTTCATCAATTATGGTGAATTGATTTTTGTTTGATTCTGTCCAAGTTCATAATTTTCATTGATTTTCTTGTTCCCGTTCTTACTGTTGATTTGATTTCATTCGTTTCTTGTTGAACTTTAAAATTATTGATGATCTCTGGATGAAATCGATCTGTGAAGTATTGACTTGGTGTTGGTTGAACGTAATTTCTGGGGTCATATGATGAACTGTGTTGAATCTCAATTTGAATAGTCACATAGAAAAGTCAAAATTGGAGTTATAGATTTATGAGCGGTGCTCTCATTTATGAGTGTAATCGGATATGAAGGCTGAATCGATTTACTAATGATAGTCGGTCTCTTTGTTGTTTATCGTGATTCTGGACTATGGCTTCTGATTCAAACTCGATGGGTGAAAGGATAAAGTCAAAATTGATCGTGGTTTAGGGTGAATAATGAGCGAACGCTAAACCTGCGAACGTTTGCCTCTGATAGATTCGTTTTTGTGGATTATCTTTGGGGTATAATCGACGGACCTCGAACGAACTTGGGTTCACGCATTTATGCTTGGAACAAAATACGGGAGGACCAAAAGCGAACCTATGATTCGGTTTGGCTAAGGTTTCGCTTTTGTCATGAAATCAGATTCGCTTCGTGATGCTTGGACCGAACATGGTTTCATTTTTGTATCATCAATCTTGGAATGAAAGGGGGAAGATTTACTTTGGGTGTACTTGGAACGAATGGTGACACTATTGGACTCGGATTCGGAGTCCCAGTAGGCACGAACATCAGCGACAAAACGAAAGGATCGAATGATGTTATTGGTTGATTGGAATCGGGCTTGAGGTTTCATATGCGAACGATAATTTGAATCACCGTTCTAGTGGTTCTTTTTAATCAGACGTCTTATTGGGGATGAAGATATTAAGTTACGTTTTTGGTCCCTAAAACTTCAATGATATGAAACTTTTGATCCTTGTTGTTTTCAAAGTTTGGCATTCTTGGACCATTCCAGATTTTGTAACAAATAAAGGGGAATGTGGTGTAGAATTATTAATTTTGTCCACTGAATTTCAGAAAAGTGATAGTTTCAACCCATTTTTCAAAGAGTTTGCAATTTTGAGGGCTGGTGAACCATTTTGGATTTTTTTAATGCACATATTTTTTTCGTGAACAGAAAATTATGGATTCCATCAAGTCTTGGCGGTTCGGAAAGTCGTTTTTTGTGATAACGAAATATTTTCACGACTTTTTCGGATTTTATACTTCATTGTATATATCATTTTGTCGCGGGGGAGCAGAATAATTTCTATCCATTCAAGATCATTCTCATGACCATAAAAGGATTTATAATCACGTTTTCGATTATAAATCGGGGGAGAATTTGGT